CTCACAGCCTCGGACATGGGCCATCGGACCACATTAAAAAAAAAAAAAAAAAAAAAGAACATACCTGAGGACAGTCATAGCCACATTCAGTCTAGAAATAACTGATGCGAACATGCTCTAAGGGCGAGATCCCACTAACCAAGAAAATTGGACGAAGGGCCTGAATTTGGCTGTGTTTTATGTTGAGATGCAGAAAAGCACAGCAATAGCAAGGATCTGCACCTCTCCTCAAGCCCGTCCAGATTCAGGTTTTCAAGCCAATCTCTTTGCCAGTGGGATCTCGCCTTAAGGGCCTTGCCGCACCACTTCCGAAGCCAAAAAAAGTACGATCACATCTTCCCACTGTGACAGAGAATGGCAAACATGCACCTGTTACTATGAATAGCAAAGGATGCATATTACCGCTTTCTGGGCAAGATGCATTCGTTCTTGTTACGACAGTGGTGTCCCGAGGCCCTAATTGAGAAACTGGTTCCTTGCTCTGGCCACATTCCTCCCTCCTCTCAAAATCAAAATCTCGCCTTTTTTGGCCTGCGGGCCTAGCTCAGTTGGTAAGGCACAGAAGTTGCATTCAGGAGGTCGTGGGTTCAATCCCCACTGGCCTCACGTACGTGCCTGGGCAAGCTTGGTGTTCTACCAGCTAGAGATAACCCGTTGGCCCGCCAAGCCAGCATTGGCAGGACCTTGGTTGATGTTGTTGGTTGCTATGCAGCAACAATATTGGCCATTAGACACCGCCGTGTGGCGTTTGGTGGGGGGTAGGGGGAGGTGCAGTGACTGGCCATTGCTCGGCGCTAGCACCGCCGATTTCCCCTAGCGGCAATGCCTGCCCACCCCTCGTCACCCTGATGAGGGACCGGTATAGCCTTGCTCTCGCACCACTGCTGTGGTGCCAACCTACCCCATGGGCTGGAGAGAGATCCGGGGGCCAAGTCCCACTTACGCTGATCTTTCATTCTTGGCCGTCTATCTTCCTAATCTATGGTCGGAAATTGAGATTTCTGGTAAGTGGGACTTGGCCCCGGGTTGGTTGGTGCTCCCCCGTACTATACATAGACTAGTGAGAGGATGAGATAGATGAGTACTAGCAAGAAAA